ACGCAAGAACAGAACCATCATGAATATGGTGAGAAGTATGTTGAATGGAAAGCATCTACCTAAAGAATTATGGGGAGAAGCAGTTTCGACAGCAACATATATATTGAACAGATGTCCGACGAAGAAGATTGAAGGAATCACACCAGAAGAATGTTGGTCTGGTGTCAAGCCTAGTCTCAGTCACTTGAAGGTATTTAGATCTATAACACATAGACATGTGCCAGATCAGTTGAGAAGGAAGCTTGATGATAAGTCGAATCAGATGATCTTGATAGGATATCATTCGACAAGAGGTTACAAGTTGTTCAATCCAGTGAATAAGCAGGTAGTGATCAGCAGGGACGTGATCATAGATGAGCTTAAAGAATGGGATTGGACCGAGAATGTCAAGAAGGATTCAGTGAGAATATCTTGTGAAGAACCAGCCACTGAAGTCGAAATAGAAGTTCGACAGGAACCAGTTGCAGATGAAGCAGGTTCAAGCAGACCTCGACGAATAAGACACATGCCTGCAAGGTTGCAAGAATGTGTAATCACATCAGATGATGTAGTCGATGAAGAGGGTGAGCTGGTACATTATGCTTTCTACGCAGATGTCGAACCAGTCAATGCAGCTGAGGCATTGAAAGATTCGAAGTGGGTGAAAGCAATGATGGAAGAGTTAGAGTCCATCGAAGTCAATGATACCTGGTCACTTGTCGAATTGCCGCAAAGCAAGAAGGCAATTGATGTGAGGTGGGTTTACAAGGTGAAGGTAAATCCTAAAGGAGAAGTAACTTGACACAAAGCGAGACTTGTGGCGAAAGGATTTCTTCAGAAGGAAGGAATCGACTTCGATGAAGTATTCGCACCTGTTGCTAGAATCGAAACAATCAGGTTGGTTGTTGGTCTATCAAATATGAACAACTGGCACACATGTCAGATGGACGTGAAGTGGGCCATGATGAATGTAGACAGTTTAGACACAATGAATTAGGTGGTGTGTTAAATATAATTCATTGTGTAAACTGATTTGATTTGATATGATTAGATATCATATGATTAGATTAGATTTGATATCATATGATTAGATTTGATTTAGAATATTTTGGGCCTTTTATGTTTTGGGCTAGTGTAAACCTAAAACTATAAATAGGGTGTCTTGCTTTGTATTCTACATCACAACAGAACAGATTTCACAGTTGCAATTAGCAAGTGAAAGTTCAATAAGAAATCTCACAGTTGTGGGTAACACATTCTCTCCAAATACTTCTTCTCTCATTCTTCTCTTTCTTATTTGTTCTTCTTTTCTTTTGATGTTCTTGATAATTACTTGTTATTACCATTACTATCATATTGTGGGTTTGTTCATCAATCTTGAGATCAAGATTGAAGGAAATTCTTCATAGGCTGTGAGGTGAATTTCCAACAGTATCCTCTAATATACCTTTTTGTCCTATTTTTTACTGCTTTTGCATGACTCTTTCCCACCTTATTTTTTTTAAGATAGATTAAAAATTTTAAGCTCGAGCTTTCCATAATATCTAACTCATTTTTTCTTGTTTTTTTAGGATTTTTATACTAGACGTATCCATTTGCCGCTCTTGTATTAACATAAAGCGGCATCACCGAACAATATGACATAACATGTGGTTTCATTTTATCTATGAAGTGGTTATGTTATTTACTTTATTTTTTTTAGTCAAGCGGTTCTAAGAGCTAGCTAATATATCCCCTCGTATCATACTTACCACGTGGCACAAATCCATTGCTGATCTCAAATTTCATGGCCCACTAAATGAAACTTTTGGCTAAACTCCGTTAACCTTTGAAAGCCTAATTCATAGAAAGATAAGAATGACAAACACACATTCTCACAATGGCAGGGACTGCTTTCTACACCTCCTGGTAACTCCTCTTCTCATCTTCTATTTTTCCACAACATGTTCATTTGTTACAATATCAACATTAAAATTTATGTTGTTAATGTTGTTTTGAATATAATTGTGAGTGATTAAGGTTGTGTTTTCAGCAACTTAGGGAGATGTTGTTTGGTATTAAAAGCTCACAATACAAGAGCCCTAGCAGGGAAAAAACTACCTCAATGTCAAATGAGAAGGAACTTTACAATAAAAGCAGAAGTGGAATTTGTAACAGCTGATGAAGCTAAGGAACTTGTAGCAGTAAATGGGTTTAATGTTCTTGATGTTAGGGACAAAACTCAGTTTGAGAGAGCTCACATTAAAAAATGTTATCATGTTCCTCTTTTTGTTGAAAATACAGACAATGATCCCGGTATGAATTCATTTCTACAAAATTTCAAGGACTAAAACACTGTTTCACTTCTTTTTTTAATACTTCATTGCATTTATTTTCTTTAGGTACATTCTTGTTAAGGACCGTCCACAATAATTTTTCTGGGCTGTTCTTTGGGATACCATTCACTCGACCAAATCCTGATTTCGTAAAATCTGTGAAAAGTCAGTTATCGCCTGAAAGTAAACTCTTGGTTGTATGTCAAGAAGGATTGAGGTTAGTTTATGATTTCTTACCCTATTAGATTGCTAATTACTCTATTTAGTTTGGTTACGCTTTTATAATGATATGTAAGTAACTCTACAAGCGTTCGATGAGCGTTGAGGTCTGCTCTGACTCTGGTGAGCCCGAGAGTCCAACTCACCTAAATTTTCTTGGTACCGGAAAAAACTTTCTTTGAATATGATCAAATATTAGAGTTTTGCACAAGAATGGTAAAATTCATATGAATTTGTAACTGGATTTTGTATAACTAATAGAAGAATTGTAGATTGAATTTTTCCTTTTTTGTGAAGGTCTGCTGCAGCAGCAAATAAGTTAGAGGAAGCTGGTTTCCAAAATGTAGCATGCATATCATCTGGACTTCAAACTGTGAAACCAGGTTTAGTGAATCGCTGATTTTATTTTATTTTTAATTTCATGTTTATCTTTAGGGGTTAGAATTAAAATTTATCCATTCTGTAGGGACATTTGAATCTGTTGGTTCGACGGAGTTGCAGAATGCTGGCAAAGCTGGTTTGGTTCAAATCCAAGGAAAAATTTCAGCTGTGTTGGGAACTGTTCTTATTTGTAAGTGTTTCAATAACTTCTGTAACAATTTATTGATGCTTGTATTGATCATTCATTGTTTTGTGAAATTTTCAGGTGCGTATTTATTCATCACCTTCTTTCCTGATCAAGCAGAGAAGCTGATCCAATTGGTTCCTGGAGGCTAAGATTGAAAATTCCATTGATTAGTTTGGTTTCCCCTCACATAGTGCATGTTGCATAATTTAGAAATGTGAGATTAGAATTGAGGAACATAAAACATGTGGTGTGATTGAATGAGGTGGTGGGAGGGATAATGGTGAAAACTAGATTGTTTCACTGCGGCGGTAATTTATTTTTTATTAAGCAAAGCAGAATTTTAAAAGATGTCAGTTACTACATAGCGGGTTGCCACGACAATATGGTAATGATATGCCATGTCCCATGTTAGTCAATTTTACTTCATGATTTTTGCACTTAGATTAAAGAATGTCATAATATGATAACACATTGCACTATTATTAAATTAACTTTACAAATAATGTCATAGTACTATCGGTCATAGTGACATTATACTTTTATTAAATTAACTTTATAAATGTATTAAGAGTAGTGTACATTATATAATTAAAAAAAGAATGATAAATTTTATTTACTACATCATTTAAAACAGAGGGAGTATTAATTTATGATCAAATCTCTGGTTAAGTTTTTTTATTAAAAAAATTATGGATGACTAATAAGTTAGTTGAAACAAATAAACTAACTTATTAAATTTATAGTGTTTAAAAAAACTAATTGTTAAAGTAACTTGGAAACTAAAATGACAATTTTTTATTTATTTTGTAATTAAAATAATAGTGGTAGCATTAAAAGAAAAAAATAATAAACTATAAATTACTTGAATAAAGTTATGAGAAACATTATAAACTAATTTAAAATAAATTACAAACTCAAGATAATAATATATTTTTTTCAATCATAAGCTATATATTATCCCAAATTATAAATCGGTGCTTCACACAAATTAAGAACAATTTCAAATTATAAATTGTTATAATTGTTTGAAGTGCTTCACACAAATTAAGAACAATTTCAAATTATAAATTGTTTGTAGTGCTTCACATGAATTAAAAACAATTGGATTTGCATAGATTATGTGACTTTATAAAACTGTCTTTCATTAATTATATAAAAAAGAAAAATTAAAATAATTAAAATAAAAAAAAGTAATAAATAGTAAAGTGTATATTAGTAAAAAAAGTTATTAATAATATATTGAGACTACAAAGTAACTTATAATTTAAAACAAATGTTTTTAACAAAATAATTTATAATTTAGAACTTGCAAAAGAGACTCTTAAATAGCAAGTCAACCTTGATGTCAGTCACATCTCTATATTATGCGATTCTGACCACTATTAGCCTCAGTCTCCACCTCAACATAAATGAAAGACAAGGCCTTTACAAATGAAAAATAGAGAAAATGGCAATGTATTGTCCTAAAGCTATCTATCCCCAATCAATACTCACTAGTGTTAAAAGCCACGTTAATGATGGGTCATAATGGATTTATACAGCTAGGGAGCGAAACAGAAATTCCGAGGTTTAATTGAATGGAGAAACTCGAAGTTGGAAGACATTCAATACTACACTACTAGATCTTGGCATGCGGAAATTTTCACAAAAGCCATTAATTTAGGCTAACAAAATATTACAATGATTATTTTCACAACATAAAAAAAATATTACAATAAGATTAGTAATTGTATTTTCCATTCTGTGCACCAGTGATCTCACGGCATAAATAGTGGGCATTCTAATTTACGTCATCTGATCTCGGCTACCTAGGGAGCCAATAGAATTGGCAAGAGAAAATGAAGGGGAGATTCAAAAAGGAAATCAGAAACATTGGTCCTGTACCATCTTTAACTGTGTTGCTAAATGCGATTTAAAGATCAATCTCCTTGTAAATAATAAAGCTGACGAATGTTCCCAGAGGCTGTCACAATAGAAAACAAACTCTTAGCATCATATGTTAGTGTTGAGGAAAACATATGCTTGATTAAGAGAATATAGCAAGGTGACTCTATGATCAATGAGCGTAACTGGATGCAGGGTTCCTTTTTAGTACAGAAAATCCAAATCCATAGGTTACTGGATAATTTTGAGACAATGACCATTGAACCGTATTAGATGATATGGCTAAATAAATAAATGATATCATAAAAGACGAAAAATAAAAAAGGGTTGGTTGATTAAAACTTTAAAAGAGATCAAATAAATAAGAGATTACTCCATGGTACCCCTGTTCAATTGTAATAATACATTGACAGATGTGTGATTGTTGAATTCAACTCATAGAATTCAATAGTTGATCTCTGTCGGAGGTTCCACAAAACATTTACTAGAGAAACAGGTATCACGATATATTGTAGGAGACTCTACATAACAGGGGTACCAAGGAAATTTCCATAACATTTGCAAGACAACCAGAAAGTTCGGCGCAGAACTTGTCGAAGTTTCAAGGACATACAAAAGTGCTAACACGCAAAGATAGAGTATTTCTTATAGATGTGAAAGAAGTTAGAATTAAACGCAGTTAAGGACAAGAGAAAAAAAGTGCTACCATATAACCAGTCCTTGAAATACACATGAAGCGCTGATGACAGTTCTCTTTTACGACTTTCTTCTAAAGGTGCTTCTCGTAACAGTTGCCTTATCTCCTCTAAATTGTTTTCCTGCAAAGAAACAATATCATTCAAAATAAAGTATAAAACCAAAAAGTTTGAAAATTCAATTGCCGTTGTATTTATCAATTGAAACTATAGCATACATTTCTCTGTTGAGATGCCATATATGCCTCAGGTAATGTGAACGGATTGTCTTTCGTAGAGCCGGTGGACTCTCCAAGCCAGTTTGGAATCTGCACAAAGATGTGGACAGAAGAAGAGAATGTGACCAATACAAAAGAAAGAAATATGGACCTCAACATTATTCATGCCTATAGTGAATATACTGAAATCCATTAAATGTGCTATCTGAGAAAAGCCTTCAGTTGCCCAATAAATCCGTATGAAAGAATGACAGTCATACCACAAAATTAGTGAACTGATCAGGATCCAACCTAGAAGCAGACTCAGTTTGAACATCAGAGACACCTGCTGGATGAGATAGTGAATCATGGGGATCAACCATGCCCAATGCTATAGGTTCATCCCAACAATTCACTGTGGGAAGAACTCCAACTTCATTCATATGTTCCTCCAGCTGGGAGTAAAAGGTATTATAGGGAGCCACCTGTAAATTTTAAGAGAGGAAATTTTCCCCAGTGAATACATTTGACAAGAGTAATGATTTACAGAAAGTCAGAAACATATACATATTATAAGAAGCTAGTACTATAAATAAACAAAACACTAAAAGCCCAGATACATGTCATATGCCTGCAAGTACAATCCACAAACAAGATTAGAGTACACCAACATACAACAACGACCCAGCCTTATCCCACTAAGTGGGATCGCCTACATGCATCAAACGACACCATAATGTTCTATCAAATATCATACTTCTGTCCAGCTCATTAATCTTGAAATCTTTCTTAATAGTTTCTCTTATAGTTTTCTAGGTGGTCTTCTACCTCTAGTGGTTTGAGTAGCTTCCATTTGATCTTCTCTCCTTACGACAAAACTCCACATGTCTTTTCTCTACATGCTCAAACCACCGAAGTCTAGTTTCCGTCATCTATTCTATTATAGGTGTTACCCCAACTCTCTCTCTCTCTCTAATGTTGTCATTTCATTTCTAATTGTATTTTGTCTAGTCTTACCACATCCAACGCAACACCCTCATCTCTGTTAAGTTTGATTAATTTTCGTGTTGGCTCTTTTTACATCCCAGCACCCTAACACCTTATTCAGTACAACATTGTCGGTCTTACAACTGTCATACATAATTTTCCCTTCAGTTTGAGCAGGTACTATTGTATACCATAAAACAGCTGAGCTTCTCTTCCATTCCAACCATCCAGCTTGAATTTGATGATTTACATCTCCCTATATTTCTCTGTCCTTCTGTACTATGAACCTAAGATATTTAAACCCCGTAATTTGTACTATGGACACCATCTTGCAATTCAATTTTATTTCCTGCGTCAATTTCATGTGATATGATTGCACTAGTGGTTTCATAAAATACATGCCCAATATTTTCGAAGAAAGAAATTAGTAATAAGTAACAGCAGATGACATCCAAATGATGAAGATATTACGGCATTGTAATCATTGAAATTGCGACATCTGAATTATAATCTCTATAACCAAGAAAGTAGCGGTATTAATTACTTCTGTGGTGCTGAGTTATATCAAATAGGCCATACATTGAAAATAATCATGTCATATTTTGATTATGGTCATCATATGAGCCCTAAGATAATTCAGAAATTCCATGGTTACAATTTCATAACTGGCTAGAAACTTCATAGATATATCAAATGGTAAATAAAGAAGCTCACCTGCAACTTATGGTTATCACCGACAATAAGGGGTTGCTGGTTCACTCCCAAAAAGAAAACACATTCACGGCAGTTAGCAATACAAATCCGTTTTGCTGCAACAATAACATGAACTCGTTCACAGTGTTCTACTCTCACAGCCTGTCAAAGAAAAAGTGGAGTCAACTTCTTTCCTTCCATATAAGCACCAGCTATTCTAACAGCTGAGGTGGGCATAAGATCAGTAAAATGGCTTCTAGTTACCAAATCTTATCCAACATAGCAAACAGCATATGCATAATACATACAATGGTCTTTAATATGACGGGTAAGTAATACCATATCTTTTGAAATAGAATGTTAAGTAATTTCATATCATTTATAAACTGTCTGCACATGAGCTCACTGACATCAACCAGATACTGGCATAGTCAGTCAGTCTAGATTCACATAAAGGGAAAACATTCTACAGATTCACATAAAGGGAAAACATTGTACAGATTCACATAAAGGGAATATACTGTACAGATTCAAGAAAGGGGAAATACAGCAAGGGGAAAAAAGACCACAGCAGGAACTTTTGAGGGTCCTACTTCCTCCCACCCTGAAAGTGAAACCGACCTTCTCTCTTTCACTTGAAGCCCACTGAACAATTATCATATCTAATCCAACCACTTGTTAAGAACCAAGGAATTGAACTAAAATAGGGAGAATCTGTTAGAGAGGTTGAACATGACATTAAAACTGTCTTCGGCCAGTTTTATAGCAGTTATGGTTTATGTTATTAGTGGTAATTAATATATTACAAGTAGTAATGTTAATTAATTGTGCCAGTTATGTTTTATTATTGTGGTTATGTTTTTCTTTGTTTTAGACGGAGTGGTAATAACCATTAGAAACTCACACGCACAACCGTTACCAAAGTAAAAACCCTGGTTATGGCGTCCAACCTAGCAATATCGGCTTTTGCGAGTTGAGCTAGGAGTTGAGTTGAACATAATGTGTTTATGTTTAGTATAAATAGAATAAGGGCCAGAGAGAATGGGATTATTGGGAAGTTATTGAGTGGTTATTGGGAGAGACCCACCTCTTGAACCTTTGGGAAGGGAGAGATCCAAGACTCTCGAATTGTTGGGAGGAACCAAACTGGTCCTTGTCTTCTGTTTGTGTGTAATTTGTGTCAGTTTTCTTGTGAATTGTAACCATGTTCCAGAGTAGTTGTTGATTTAATATACAGAAAATTGTCCCACAATTTCCCTGGTTTGGACCAGTTCTATTAGAATCAAAACAATACTAGTGTATTATCGAAATTGAACAAGACAAAGGATTGGAATTTCCCCAAGAGTTTCCTCCTCACTCGCAATATCAAATGTACAGAATGCCTCTCTCCATCAATACTTATTCTGCTTATACAAATTATTCCCCCTAGTTCCTAACTGTTCCTGAATTCTAACAGCATCATCTTCCCTGTATATTATCTTACCCTTAAATATGATAATTGCATTTTATTTTACTCATTCTGATAGGAAGACAAATTCCATATTATTGTCTGTATATGTATAGACTCATTACGTTGCTTTTGAAAACAAGACACAAAGTTACTACTAGTTGTTACCTTTCCAACTGCTCCAATAACTATTGTCGCATCTGAACATCCATAGATGGTGGCGTATCTCAAAGGTGCTAAGATGTAAATGGCAGAGTCATGGCAATTTAGAACCTGCAGTGACCAAATACCATTTGTATTAGCAAATCTACATTGACAATAAATCCAAGAAAATGCATAAGATAGTGCAAATTGAGAGACAAACAAGAACATTTGTGCTGAGGTACTCAAGCAAAACATAAAATATTATCTAGCTTGTGACATCTCTTTTCAAGGTACTTAAGCTGTTAGTAGAGATGCTCGTTAACTATTTTATCATGAATAAACAAACTACCACAATACAAATTGATGGGTTATAAAGGCCTATCTTGTGAAGAGTCATCGCTATGTTTTAGCAGAGCGGAATGACCCATGACACGATGCTAAACACTAGCTACCAGCAATTTGCAGTGGCTGCCACAAATAACTGAGAAACAGCCTTTAGGCCATTAATAGTTAGGGTCTGTAATGCTCTTTTTTACCCTCTAATACATCTGATTTCAAAAAATTTAAGGGATATTTTGTCATTTCCCAATTTAAGACTAAGTTGCTCAACATCTCTTCCCACTCAGTCATGAAAAAAAATAAAGACACAAGAGACGCTTTGTTTTGCTCTGCATTTCTCTGCCTGTGAAGTCCAAAATTAGCAGTGACTTTTGCTTTTAGCAACAGCAGAGGCCTTTTCAAGCGACAGCGGCTGTGTTTGCACCGGTGACTGTCGCATTCAGGTTCTATACCCTTTCTCTCCTTTGTTTCTAGGTTCTCAACCCTGTTTTTCAACATTTGTGAATCTAGAAAGTGCGAAGACCCCCACATAATAGACACTCTGCTAGTGAGTATTTTTTTTTAAATCTCTTCTTATTTTTTGATACTTTTTAAACTTGTATTAGTTAAGTCATATTGATTTTTACTTCGAATGTTGGTGACAAACTATAGTTATTAATTGTAATGTATGATTGCCCCTTTAATGGTGTATTTTTCTATTTTTGAGTATATATGTATATTATTGAGAAATTGTTTAGTCTATATACTATTATGGTCTTCACAATAGCATTCATCATGCAATACTATATACCACTTTGGCAATTCTGGGGAAACATGCTCCGTGCGGCTATCTGAGATTAACAATATAGATATAGGCATTCTGCCCTAATTCACCCTTTCAAGCATTAATTGTATAACATCTCTTTTCAAAGCTTTCGCCGGGTAGGGATATATATTTGATCTAAAATCAGCTTCAAATAACTAAGTCTTAAATGGATGTTGAAATTTTCCTTCAAGGGCAACTTGATGCTATAAAACACCCATCTTGGCAAAGGTCTAAGCAAGGTCAAACCCATTGTGGGTCTACTGTAGGTTTCTTTTGCAAATCCCATGAACCAACCAGAACACAGAGCAAAAGTCTAATGCATACTGACAACTAGATCTGTGCGGGATACAACAACAAGAACCAAGTCTTATCCCACTATCCTAGTAAGCGGGGGCGGCTATATAGATCAAATTCTGCATAATAGTCTATCCAAGACCATGTTTTTGTGCAGGATACCGCAGATATTTATGTTCCATACTGACTTGGTCATGCATTGAGCAGTCTGAATAATATTCGCATCATGGGCCTAAATCAACATGTACATAACTTGTTCAGAAATAAAGCATGCAAATTCTACCACTCTACCAGATCCAAACTTCAAAAGTCTCAAAAAAAACAGCATGTGAACAATATCCAAAAGCAATCATCCAAATTTAATAGCTACTCATTTACAATTACAAGCAGATGCCTCATGTAATATAACAGTATATAGTGGCTTAAAGAAAAATAATATCAAGGGTAAAGAGCCCATTTCGTATTGTATCAGTTGCTTCCACAATATATTGATGATGTAAAATTTAAGCAATAATAAACTAGAAAAACAGACAGATATAAGATACAAACCTTAACGGAGGAACCTTTAATGTCAGATGCATGCTTTGCGTATGATGATTTCGAAATCCCTTCAATGAAACTTGCGCCCCTAGCACTTGTTGGGACCTTAACTGAGGCAGTAGATGCCTCAGTCATAGCAACATCCTGATCAGAGGCACTAACTGGACCATTTTCTTTTGAAGGAGTCCGTTCAGCAATACGTCCCAAGGCAGAAGCTATGTTCTGCAGAAGCCAATCATGAACTTGGGAAGCAGAAGCGGGAACAGCAGGCATGTTGGGATCCGAGTTTGCGAAAAAAGGAGAAGATTGACTCAATGAATTTCCTTCAAGTCCTTTATCACCATAATGAAATAGAAAACCAAGGTGCTCAAATCTATCCATGGTTAAAACCTATCAAATAAGCAAAATAATAGTATGACTAAGAACTAAAACAAAAACAGATAAATATTTGAAGACTGAAATAATGAATATATTGCTGAAACAATATTCAAGAAAAAGAAAAACAGCACAAAACCTTTCTACAAGTTCCAAATAATTTCCTTTCGCAGACAAATTACATGATATAAGGCTAGGGAGCTGGATTCACTAGCTAAAAGAGGAGAAAAGTCATAATTCCGGAATACAAAGATGAAATCATACAGGAATGGGACACAAAACGATACCCATCTAGTCCATAGTTTATTGCAACCGATGCCTTCATAGTTCAATGTATGCACAAAGCATCAAGTTTGGACATAATAACTTGTAATGAGCACAAAATAGGGAAATATGCTTAATCCACAATTCATATTAAGCAATAAAATCTTAATGAGATCATTGCACAGAAGCTAAAGCTTAAAAAAAAAAAACAGTTGTACTTGTACCCAAAATAACACGACAATGATAAACAAACGAATTTGATGACATTCAAATTTCAATATCTCTTCCTGGCATGCATGGAATATCACCAAAACAGAATACAAATTGCAAGAATGGACCCCAAAGATTAAGAATATATAATGCAATTAATGAGTTGCATACAATTTTTTTTACTTATTGCTAATTGATTAGTAATGATAATATTAAAAAACATAAAGTAATTCGGCCAAAATCAGCAACTCATGGGAAGCACATAGTAAACAAACAAACCAGAGATTCTTCACTTTCCCCCTCCACGGGCTCTGCTAGCAGAGACACGATGTTAGCCAAATGCTTTTGCAGATAAGACAGCTGATGTGCTTCTTCATCACCCTGCGACGGCGTAAACCGCTTACTGTTGCTCCGCACAAGCTGCAATTACAAACCATTCAAAACCAACATCAACACATTCAGAACATCAAATCAACAAAAATCACTCCAAACAAATTGTGAGCATCTCAAATGCCAACTAAAAAAAACTAATCCAATGATTCCTATTTGATTGTACTAACCACAAGAAAGTAATTCATGATTACAGGAATTAAGCAATGCATTATTCCATAACAAAACATGAAAGTGCGTTGAGAGGATCGAAGAAACAAAACGGTGAATTCACCTGAAGCGGCGTGAGAGCGGACAGGTATCCATCAAAGGCGGAAGTGGAAGGCCAGACATCAGCAACAGCGGCGGAATCCTTATGCGTCCGCGGGAGGAGCCTCTTGTAAGATTGAATGTATAGAAACAAAACGAGATCATGAACATCGACGCTATCAGATTCGGATTCAGAAGGCAGAACCGAAACGAGAGTCTCGAGAACAAGCCTAGCTTGTTCGACGGAGATCTGTAACGACTCAGAAATCGCGGCCGAGTCAACTCGGTTGTTAGAGGATAATTCGAGAAGCTTATGTTTCAATGAGATTAGGGTTTGTGTGGGGTCGGAGAAGATGAGTCGCGGGATAGGTAAAAGACCGTGTTCGAACGGCACGCGTCTTGGATGAATCACGGTGGCTGGTGTGGGACCCAATGAAGGAATGCATGAATCGGTTGGTGGTTCCGTCATGGCTAAAAAGGAGAAGAAAACATGAGAAAATGAGAGAAGGAGAGTGTTGCAGATCTTTGGAATCGAAAACTAGTATTGGTGGGAGAAGAGAAAGAGAGAGGATGACGGGGTGTGTTCCGGTGGGGTTCACCGCATGGGGACTATGTGACGTGGCGATTTCTCATTCGTTGTTTTCGAATAGTTAATAGTTTTGTCTTAGTGGTATTAGAGAGATCCATCATCTGGTTTTAATTGCACTTGTGTACTTTAATGCTCTTCCTTTCACTGTGAAACGGAATTTGTCATCCACAAATGTTTTCTTTTGACACTTTTACTTTATTCCAATTTTGCAAATTTCAAAACTAATTTTAAAGGTATAGAGTTTTTTTATTTATTTATCAATCACTCCCGGATAAAGTTATTGTATTTTTATAGTAGATTTCAATTTATAGTTGTTAGGAATTAAAACTTTTCATTTTAAAATTTATTGTTATATTTATATTTGTTATTTAATTCACTTTTATAAATATTTTTAAATAAAAATTATTTTATTTCCAATTGACATTTAACTGTAACTTTTATTTTTTAAGAATTTTTTTTAATCTAAATTTGTCTCTTAAAATTTTTTAATTAATGGTATAATTGTATTTAATTAGATTTTTTAAATATTTATAGAATATTATTTAACTAAAGATAATGTTGGTTTAAGATGGTTTTACTTAATGGGATAGTTTGGTATATCGAATAAAAATTAAGAATACGGACTTGTTTACTAGTGTTTTTAGTAAACAATTACGAGTTTAGAAAGTTTGTGAGATTAACTCGAAAAATCTTTAAAATAATTTGTGCAAATGATTTGTGTGAACACACATGTATGTGAATTGAATGCAGTCGTCGTGTGAAGATATAAAAAAATATTTTAAATGAAATCAAGTTGTGATAAATGATAAGGTAGAATGCAATAAATGACATTAAACAAAGCAAAAGTAAAAGTACATGTTCCATTTAAGGAAACAAAAGACCAATGAAAAAGATTGGACACATACGCATACATGTTTCTCGCTCAATTGTTTCGCTTTTTGACTCGGATACTCTAGTGGTATGGAGAGTATGTATAAAATTTTGCGACCTTTCATCCCATGTATGAGTCTGCTATTTATTCTATTTACAAAGTAACTATCAACGGCGATTATGACCACTAAGAGACAGATGTCTTTGTTCCACATTCAATCTCCAAGATCTCACTAGTGTGTTTATGTGTCATCCACTACACTATCTGTTTTGAAACCTACATTGAGTTTGTAACTACTTCCACTGTGAGTGCGCTATCCTCTTGGAGGTTTTGAATGATGTCAAAAATAGATATTTAGTATTTGTACATTGGACTTTATCTTTTTATATCTATGTGGCATCTTCATCTTATGACACTTATATAATATGTAAAAAGCATTTGGACAAGTCAAAAATATGAAATTTTACGAAAAATCATGTTAGGAGTTGACATGTCCATGATAGGAGTCGGCTCCCTCTGAAGATGAATGAAATAAAAAGTTTCTACTGCAAAGGAGTCAACACATAGGCCCTTGTAGTCGATACACAACATGAATGGGTCGACTCCCTCGAGTTGTGGGTCGACTCCCTTTGAATGCTCAATTTTCCAAAAGTTTTCTGTCTACTCGGGGTTTGGGGTGGCAAAACGGGTTGTGGCCTGCCGAACCGGCCCGCGCACCTGCCAAAAAATGGCGGGTTAGGTTGGGATTTTGGGTCCGCCGCCCACTAAAGACCGCCCCGCTAAAGACTTGCACCCGCGAAAGTTCGCCCTACCAAAACTCGTTGTCCGCGAAAGCCCGCTGCACCTATTCGTTCAGCTTGTCCCACCTTAAACCCGCCATATTTTTAGTTAATTCTAATATTTTCAATTCTTGATGGTTTTATTTTATACATTTATTTGAGAATATATGCAATATTTTTTGAACTAAAATTTGTTAAAAGGATGCTTTATAAAAATTGTTCTAAAAAAATAAGTGAAAAATCTAATTGAAATGTAAAAGCAAACCTATTAATCTATTAAAAAATGAAAATAAATAAATAAAAAAGTAGGCGGGCAAGCCCGTCAACCCGCCACCTTGGCGGGCGAGGTAGATTTTTATGCCCATTTCCACCCCTGCCTTTTTTTTGGCATGCTTAAGATGGGGTGGGGCGAGCGGTCCGTTTTGCCACCCCTACTTAGGGTCGACTCCCAAGCAGTACGGGTTGACTCCCAGCTCTTATGAGTCGACTCCATCTTCAAATGGGTTGACTCCCTCCTTCTAAAATTGTCAAATTTTGTAATTTTTCAAGTCTAACTTTTTTGTTTTTTGTTTTACACACACACACACACACACACCTATATATAGTCATTCATGCATCATTTTATATTATTGAAACCAAGAATATACAAAGAAAATTCATCATCTTCATCCTCTCTCGTTGCATTCATACAACAACTACACATAATAATTTTTGTTGTGTGATCAATAGATAGTTTGATAAGGTCCAATTAGGAATGGTAGTAATCAAATGGGTTGAAAATTCTTTGGGTTTCAACATAAATCCATTTGGGGTTTTCTTCTAGTATCAAGAATAGATTTGGGATTTTTTTCACAATATTTTGCAATTTGGATTCAACCGAGCGAAAGCTTTGAAGAACGGTAGTTCGGTCAAAGGAGTAGCGGTAACCGGAGGATCAAACTGGAGGTATTAGACCACTTGATGGAGCTTAAGATCAAAGGAAGAAAAAAAGATACGATAAACATCAAACATAGGGTTTTGAGGGTTGGATTGCTATTTCTTTTCTTGTAAACTACATTTGCAAAGGTTAATTTTCATTATCTCGATTCTATTGGAATTGAGGGCAGACATACCCATAGATAGGCCAATTGGGAATTGCCTAAACAAATCCTTTTATTTCTCTCTCTCTCTCTCTCTCTCTCTCTCTCTCTCTCTCTCTCTCTCTCTCTCTCTCTCTCTCTCTCTCTCTCTCTCTACTTTTATAGCAAATTGTTAATCCAATGATTATGCAATCGATACATTGGGATTATTTCGTTATTTAATACTTCAAACTATTTTGTTGATTTGATTTCAATCCATTTGATAGTAATTGGGTTTTCATATCAACAAAATCAAAGAAAAATATGAGTTAAATTGATTGCACACCAAGTGTTTGAAAAATTACTTTAGTCAATTTGTGCTCACTATTTAATTGGAAATGGATTACCTTTGTGTGGTTTTATTCAAACTTCATTGTTGAAAATATATTAATTTACTCTATCATCTTTCTAATACATTTTATACAGTTTAACGTATATTCGATCTTTTCGATAATGGTTCAGGATAGACGATTGTCGATCCGAGATTGTTGCTGCTAACCATTGTTAAATAGTTTTTAAAACATATTTTAAACAAGAAAATATCATCTGTGATCTATTCACCCACCCTCTAGATCATAGTTTATTGTCTAACAAGTGGTATCACGAGCACTTGTTTATCTTGTGCATCAAATTTTGCTTATTAGATTATGGCTTTAGAACCTAAAGGGGCGTATAATAAAGCGTCAGTTTTCAATGGCGAGAACTATGATTGTTGGAAAGATTGTATGTGTATCCATATCAATTCTATTGATGGAAAAGTATGGAGCGTCATCCAAAATGGTCCATTTGAAATTACTATGACCAATGTGGATGGTGTCGTTGTACCTAAACCAGAAGCACAATGGGATGCAAAAGATGAGAAAAAATAGACTAGTGATTGGAAAGCAAGGAATATTCTAATCTTCGCTTTAGAAGTTGATGAATATTATTTTGTTTCTCGTTGCGAAACCGCTAAAGCTAAGTGATACGCATTACAAGTTATCCATGAGGGTACAAATGAAGTCAAACAATCTAGAATCAATACCTTGAATCGAGAGTTTGACCTCTTTCACACGAAGCATGGTGAAACCATTGCCGATATGCAAAAGAGATTCACTTGTAAACTGTTTGAATGCACTTGGCAAGTCGATTTCCAATGATATTGCTACTAACAAAATTTTGAGATGTCTTAATAGGAAATGCAAACCTAAGGTTACCGGCAGAAAAGAAGCTAACAACCTATTGACTTTCGATACTACTACTTTGTTTAGTAAGCTTGAAGAACATGAGCAAGAGCTCGTTAGCTTAGAGAAGCCTGAGAAGAAGGTTAAGAAAGAAAACAACAAGGAAAATGAGGTGGAAGAGAAGTCAATTTTTCTTGTGGCTTATAGTTCCAAGTCCTCAAATAAAGATCAAGATGATGTGGAACTAGTAATGATGAGTGTTCAGATGATAAAGAAATGAGGTTTTTCGTTAGAAGGTACTATAAGTACATTAAGAAAAATGAAATAAAGCATTCAGACAAGAATCTCATCTACTATAGAAGATATTCAAATACCTCAAAGGAAAATAAGAATAAGAAGGAAAAATCTAAAGGTTCTGTTTATTGTGAAAATTAGTAAACAACCGATGGTCTTTCCAATCGAAAAAGGAATGGATTACGTATAGGATCGACCATACAAATCCTAAGACATGGCTAGTAATTCTTAAATTAAAGTTTGGAAAATGCTCATGATCTAACAACTATTAACTTCAAATTTTAAAGGAAGTAAAGTTCATAAACTTAATCAAAAGCAATTAAATGCATTGAAAAAATAACTCGAGCAATAAAAAGATAAATTATGTGGTAAAAGATGAAATTTGCATTAAAATGTAAAAAGTATGGTGTTTGTCAAACTTATATTTTCTTCGACATACTCTTTCTCTACACACGGATACTTTGACTAATTTCAAAAACTTTGTACAATTTTGAACACCCATGATCCTAACACTAGAACCTTCTATTTATAATGATAAAAAATAACTGACCTTAACGGTCTTCCTACAAAAAAATGACAAGTGGGGCTCGACATGTCTCCTTTCCTTAGAAAAGCTCCACGTGTCTTCTTCACAAATCTAGATAAGAACAAAAGT